ATTTTAATACAGTTTGGTCTAGCCATTACATATCTCACATATATGACATATACAAATTACTTGCTAACACAAGAAATAATCAATAATACATTATATAACAAGCTAAAAATATATAATATTTGTTAACACAAGCGCCCGCACTTTAAATAACGTTTTTCAGTCACACATCTCATCTATCGAACGTCAAAGAGAACAAGAGATCGAAGGAGGTTATATTTCCAACGCCTTGAAGATGTACTGGTGATCGCCTTTCATAATAATAATAATAATAATAATAAACTTTATTGGGTGATAAACAGATAAAGCGAAGCTTTTTTCCAATCTGGCCCATAGGGTAGTAAATATATAAAAGTAAAAGAAATGTTAAAAAAGTCTTTGAGTCTTAAGTTCCTTAGAAGCAAAGAGTTTGTTTTTTGCAAGTTCCCAGATATGTGCTTTGAAGGACTTAAGAGTTGAACACTTTGTGGTGCGGCTAGGGAGTTTATTCCATAAAGAACTTCCAAGAAAGGAAAATGACCGCTTGCCAGAGTTTGTTTTTGCTTTGGGGAGGAGTAACTTGTGATCATCTACTGTCCGTGTAACGTAGCGGTGCGTTGGTTTAGTCGGCAGCGAGGCCAGACAGGGCGGAGCTGAACCATATARACATTGATGCATCAGTATCAGTATACGGAATATTATAATATCAGAGATTGGGAGAAAAAGAAGATCTTGGAAGAGCGGTAAGGAGGGAGACATGGCGTTGGCATTCAGTAGAAGCCTTGCACCTCGTTTCTGGGCTAACAAAAGTCGATCCATAGAATCCTTCGAGCAGTTACCCCAAACAGAGCAACAGTACTCCATGGTTGGTCGTGCGATGCTCTTATACAGGAGTTGTAGTTTACTGGGAGATATATATGGTCTTGCCTGCCTGATGAGTTCCAATTTGGTGTTGAATTTCTTAACGAGTTTGCWGATCTGCTCGTTCCACGTTAGAGAAGAATCGATGTAAATACCAAGTAATTTTTCACACGAGGACTGTTYAATTAATTCATCATTGATATAAATATGTAGAGGATCTGATCTTGCTAKTTTSKGATGTGTTCCAATAAGCATAACCTTGGTCTTTTGGGGATGAAGTACCATCCTGTTATCAGAAGCCCATGTACGAAGGTTATCCACGCCAGCTTGGAGCTTTGAATTAATGTCAGCAGATGAGGCCCCAGACACACACAGAGAAGTGTCGTCTACATACATGTACGTCATGCATTCCTTGTTAATTGTTGGGATATCATTCACAAAARTAATAAACAACAGAGGGCCAAGGCAAGAGCCCTGTGGGATTCCAAATTGCATGGAGGCGAGTTMAGATGWACAGTTCCCAATAGATACAACTTGTTTCCTTTCTTTGAGATARRAGGTGAACCAACGATGGGCGCGTCCGAGGACACCATAAGTAGAAAGTTTCTGCAGAAGAAGATCTTGATTTACAAGGTCAAAGGCTTTCCTGAAATCTACCA